CCCGCCCTCGGATGCTGGCACACCCTGAGCCCCTCCGAGCTTTTCTTCTCCTGTGCGATGGGCCGGGGGGATCAGGTGAGGTCTGCGCGGTACTTGGTGTGTGATCGCGGGAAAGGTCATTTATACATCACCCCCCAGGGAGGCGGGGGGGCCGGCCCGCACCGTGTCTCTGCGCCTGCTGACGGCGGTCACAGCGACGGTTAGAGGGTATCACACGCCCAGACGCTGGCCCTGTCTCCTCCCCCAGCCCGGGCTGGGCCCCCACAGCTGTGAGGACGAGGGGCGTGTGGTGGTCGCCGGCAGTGTGGGCTCTGCCTTCTCTTGCCACGGCCGGAGGGGTCTGAGCCGAGGCCCCCGGGTCTTCCTGGCCTGGCGTGACCTCCCCGCACCGGGCAGGGGCCTCACGCTGGCGCGAGCTCAGGCCACGTGGGAGTTGTATTAAGGCTTGGGGCCTGATCACCGCTGTGTCCAGGTGCTGCTGACCGATGGCGGCCACAGTCCGCGTGGCCAGGGCAGGAACGTCCTGAAATCGACACTTCCCGGCCTTGGCTGGGCACATGACTCACCCGGGCAGGAGAGGGTTACATGGAGGTGCCCCCAAGCCTGGGCGGATGCCCCTCCCGGGGGTGTTAGCATCTGACGGCAGAGGACCCCGGAGCTGCCTTCTGACAGCAGCAGCCTTGCCTGGGAACGTGTCGGGGATGCAGATTCCCGGGCCCAGCGCAGACGGGATCAGGGTGGGGAGGCCGCGCCGGTCTGGACGCACCGCGTGCCAGCGCACACGGAACATGGTTCCGCTGCCCGGGGCGCTGTGGGCCCCTGGGCTGCAGGAAACGCAGGCCTGGGGGCTCCCCGGTGCGGCCACAGCCCAAGGGTGCCCACCTGTCCCCTGTCCCCTGCCGGCCAGCGCACCTGGCACAGGCTGACCCACGCCTGTGCACTCAGGCCCCAAACCAGCGCCGGGGGGTCCTTGGCTGGGAACCGCAGGCTGGGCGCCTCTGCCCTGGCCTTCCTCACCCTCCTCACCCTCTCTGTCTCTGTCCCCCCCGCGCCCCCCCGGTCCGGCCACAGCAGACGGCAGGAGCAGGACGCAGCGATGCCCGACTCCCCCGCTGAGGTGAAGGCACAGCCCCGGGCCACGCCACCCGCCATGCCGCCCCCGCCACCCGCCGCCTCCCAGGGGGCCACACGGCCCCCGTCCTTCACGCCACACACGGGTGAGTAACCCTGGGCAGAGAGACCACTGTCCCCGGGGAGCCCCCATAGGTGTGACATTTTAAACTCTCGGCCTGAACCAGTGGCCAAGGGCCGAGCTTTGGAGGTTCCAGTCCCAGCCCTTCCACTTTGGGCCACCTCCCGGACCTCTCCGGGCCTGGGACCCTCGTCCACAGAGCAGAGCTGTCTCCTGCTGCTGAGGGTGCCACCTGCCACACTCAGAGGGACAGGGACCTCGCCAAGGCCACAGCAGGTTCCCTGAGTGCAGGCCAGCGAGAGCCTCCGATTCCAGGAGTTCTGCAGCCTCCACAGGGCTGAGGCCCGGCCGAGCGCCGGGCCCGCGGCTGGGCAGGACGGGCGGGACCTCGCGGGCCCTGGGCAGGTGGGACCGGGCCTGCTCAGCGCACTCAGCCGCTCCAGGTGGGCTTCCGGGGGCTCTGGGCAGGGGCGGCTGGTTCTCCTGCACAGCCGCCATCAGAGCACCTTTTGTTTTGGGAAAGAAGTTTGTGGCCCAGTGACTTTGGGGTCCCAAGTGGTTGGGAAGAGGGAGCCTCCAGGCTTGGGCCGGTGTGGCGGACAGTGTTCCCTGCCCCCGAGGCCAGAGGGTGGGAGTGTGTCCTCAGTGTTCCTGGTGGTAATGGGGGGAGTCCACATGCCACCCCCA